TGTCCACACTGACACCCCAGAAACTGTACCCATTCTCACTGTCCACAGTGACACCCTGAAACTGTCCACATTCTCACTGTCCACACTGACACCCTGAAACTGTACCCGTTCTCACTGTCCACACTGACTCCCTGAAACTGTCCACGTTCTCACTGTCCACACTGACACCCTGAAACTGTCCACGTTCTCACTGTCCACACTGACACAGCAGAAACTGTTCCCATTCTCACTGTCCACACTGACACAGCAGAAACTGTTCCCATTCTCACTGTCCACACTGACACAGCAGAAACTGTTCCCATTCTCACTGTCCACACTGACACCCTGAAACTGTCCCCATTCTCATGTCCACATTGACATTACCCACAACTTTGTGTTTGCATGTTACACTGAAGCCATCCACATTGATATTGTCCACACATATATTCTCCAACTGACACTCTACAACAGCATACTGTCCACAATTCTCTCTACAAATTGTCTCTCCACACTGACACTCCCCATGCTGATACTAACTACAACTTAGTGTTTGCACCCACAATGTCTATGCTACAATGTGCACGCTCACATTGTCCACACTGACACTGTCCATGCTGACACACTGCAATGATAATGTCCACATTGACCATGTCCACAACTTATATTTTCCACACTGATAATGCCCAAATTGACACTTTCCACGACCCTGGCACTATGCATGCTGATACTATCCATACTGACACTGCCCATACTTACTCTGCTGCACTGATACTCTCCCCACTCTTACAGGTCGGAACTTTTACTGTCCACACTGATCTTGTCCATGCTGATACTGTCCCACTGACATGTTCATACTTATTCTGTCCACATTCGCACCGTTTATAATCACGTTTTCAACGGTGACTCATGTCCAATCTATCCTCTTGGCATATCTGCTCCCTGACTCATCCATTCATTACTTTTCCCTCCTGATCTTGTGTTCCTGTTCAAGATCTAGAATGAATCCAAGTATAAGAGTTTGGAAGTGCAGACCTGAATGCAGAAATTAATCTGTGCATAATAAAAACTGAAAATGCTGCTAAAACTCAGAAGATCTGGCAGCATCTGTGAATCTGAGTTAATATTTCGAGTTCGATAGAACTCCTCTTTGAGTTCCAAAGAAGTTGTGTCAGACTCAAAACATGAGCTCTATTTCTGTCTCCATAGAGGACTCTTCTTTGAGTCAGCCTTTGAAGGATTTGCCTGGACCCCTCCAAAAGTCTCTTTTTAAACTGGAAAATTCTGATGAAACTAAGTAAATAGTCAGTTGGGAAAAGTTAAAGTATTGAATATAGCCTGACTCCAGAGTAATCCTTAACGAACTACATACTTATGTCACACACTTCCCTTAGACCTCTCACACCCCCAGTCCCTCACCCTATGCCCTACCTTGTAAGCTGATACCCTGAACCACTCTGCACCCAAACCCCCATCAGACCCGACACCCACCCTCCCCACCCTGCATGAGATTATCACCCCTCAGAAAATCCAGCCAAAGAACTTTGTTTCCCTCTCCACAGATACTACCAGACCTTTTGAATCCTTCCAACAGATTCTGTTTTCATTTTGGATTTTCAGCATCCACAGTGATTTTAACTTTTTCATTCACTGCCACTTCTGTTCTAGGAATGCCCACCTTGGAGATGTTCTACTAGCCTTTCCAATCAGGGTTTGTTTTACTTTGTTCAGCTCCAGTGCTTTCTGTATTATTTACACAGAAACGTAGTAAATAGGAGCAGGAGTAGGCCATTTGGCCCTTTGAGTCTGCTCTGCCATTCAGTATGATCATGGCTGATCATCCAACTCTGTACCTGTCCGCACTTTCTCCCCATATGCTTTGATCCCTTTACACTAATAATTTCTGCTTCCTTCTCATGTTTGATCAGATATCAATCAAAATTCACTTCCACACCAGATCACTTTCCTCAGCAAATGTCTCCAGCTCTGACCTATTCCACATGAATGCAACTGAAATTCCAACCTTTATGCACCACACCTACTCTCTCTACCTTCTTTTCGACAGCAATAACTCACTGTATCTCAGAGCTGTTATCCTTGATCTCATCTGATGCTTTAACAAAAAAAACTCTTCCTTCTACCTTTCAGCTTTCAAGGATCACAAGCTTCAACAATTGTGGACCCTTCCCCCATTTCACTTTCATCTGACCCCATCTCCCCTTTCATTCTCACTCTTTACTGTGTTTTCACAATCCCCTATAACTTTCCCTTTGCTGATCTGAAACGATCAGTCCTCAGTTTCATCTCCTTACACAAACTGTTCCCAGGTGCTGCACCCACAGTTGGAGTCACAGAGACAGCAAATGGTGTTCATAAAATCATAGCAAGTTTATGGCATGGACAAAGGACACATGGCTTATCATATCTGCACCAGCTGAAAAATTAGCCACCCAGTTTAATCCTAATTTTTGGCATTTGGTCCATAGCCCTGCGGGTCAAATTGAAGTGCACGCCTTCCTCCTCTGAGACTGCACCCTGCACCAGCATCAAGGCTCAGGAATCACATAATCCTTAAATTGCTCTTGTTGCCTGTCGGTCCTGGGTCTGGATACCTGGCCCTGACCATAAACCTGGCAACAATCCATCTGCCTGAACTCTGCCTTGTCACCTTGGCACTGAAAAGCAGCTTGGGCACTAACATCAGCCACCTCAAGACCCTTAAGCTGCAGTTCTGTTGCTTTCTGGCCACGCTTCATGAGCAGGACTGATCAATACAGAACACAGTACCATTTTTAGAAAGTACTTTAAAAGACACAGATTTTTATATTGATATGGAGTGCTAAGAGAAACTTTTTTACAGAGCAAGTGGTTAAGATCTGGCGTGTACAGCCTGAGAATGAGTGGAGACATGTTCAATCTAAGCATTCAAAAGGGAGACAAGACCATAAGTCATAGGAACAGAAGTAGGTCTTTCAGCACATCGCGTCTTCTGCACAATTCAATGAGATCATGGTTGATCTGATAATCCTCAACTTCACTTTCCTACCTTTTTCCTATAAACCTCGATTCCCTTACTGACTAAAAATCTATCTCAACCTTAAATAATATTAATGACCTAGCCCTTCCCTTAAGGGGAAACAACCTTTTCTCATCTACCTTGTTAAGTCCTCTAAGAATTGTGTATGTTTTGCCTTTCATTCTTCTATATTCCAATGAGTACAGGCCCAATCAATTCAATTTCTCTTCATAAGGCAGACCGTCCATACTTGGCATCAGCCTGGTGACCTTTCTCTGGACTGCCTCCAAGGCCAGTATGTCTTTCTTTAGATAATGGAACCAAAACCGTTCATCGTATTCCAACTGTGGTCTGATTAATGCCTTAGATAGTTTTAGCAAACCTTCCCTATTTTTATATTCCATCCCCTTTGAAATAAAGGCCGCATTCTGTATTACCTGCTGAACTTGGATGAGTCCCATTATACTCTTCCTGACTTAGCATCATACATCATCCTTCTGTTATTTAACTTCTGCTTTCTAGCCAATCACACAGTTTTTTTTGTTCTCTCGCACTTCCTCATGCAGTCCATGTATTAGCTTAATGAGTTACATCTCTAACTTTTTACAGTTCTAATGTATGATCATGTACCTGAGAAGTGTTTCTCTCACCAGATATTGCCTTATCTAATTCCTAGCATTTCTCATTATTATTTTGGAATTGTAGAGAGCTGCCCGAAGCCAATGATTCAATGTGTATTCACAGAAATTCAATGCAGCGAAAAAGAAATGAGGAAACTCTGTAGTGATAGTATCAAGTTTTTTGAAATTTAGTTAATTATTACTCATTAATTCATATGCAACGCATTTTTTAAAATTGACTAATACAGTGATGACTGGGTTGGAGTCATCAAGTGAACTTAGAGAGAACTAACCCACATTAAGAGCAGATAGACACACTCCTGTGTAATTTCTGTTTGTGTGTTTGGCAGCATAGGACGGATCAGTTCAAAATTACTGAGACATTTCGTAAGGAGACAAATTTGGCACCCTCTGGTGTACTACTTCAGTACAACAGGTTTGGAAAAAAGGCTCCTATAACAATCTACTTTATTATTTCAGCAAATCATTAAAGTTTCAACTATATTATTTAATAAAACATTTTATAAACTTAGAGGTAATTTATTTATACTTAATATCCTTTAAAACAAAAC